TTTAACTATTAAAGAGTGCACTCTTAAGAATGCATACTTTCCCTCCTCCGCCCTATTGGTAATGCCAGTATTAGTCCCTTCCCCCCACCACCCCCCCATATAAGGGTGATGTTGACCTAATTTGCAACTGAATACCTCTTTGAAACTTTGATGACTATGTATCCTGGCTATGTTTAATATATGTTCTTTGTTCTCAAAAGGTATAAGACTGCTGAAAACAATGCTTCTCTGGAACGCTTTCTTCCTTTCTGGAAAAGGCTTTCCCGGGTTATAATCCTCACTCTGGCTCTGGTAAAACTCACCTCTCTCTTATCTATAGAATGGTTATTTATTATTTTGCGTCGACAAAGGAGTTTATTCAATAATCAAAGTGAGGAATTCAAATCCCAGGAACAGTCCAACAGAGTATTCTGAGGAACTGCTCCCAGGTGTACAGGTCTAATGCAGTTTACATACGTTTAATAATGCAGTGTATGTGCAGGAAAGGGCTTACGTATCTAATAGTCAGATGCTTCAAAGATAAGAATTTTTTGGTTATTCGTCAAACAAGGCTTGGAATGTTGGTCTTATCTATGTGTGGAGGGAGGCAAGGACCAGGGTTGTCACTTTTTCCCTCAATCTCTAAGAAATGTAGTTGGGAAATGTGAGAGTGAGGTGCCCATTATGGCTTCCTGTTGCTGATTCATCTTGCTGGCGTCTTTAGTCATGAGACAAGGGGTTGCAAGGTCATTCTAATACAGGCTTAAGATGGCCTGCATGGCTGCTTCACAGTACAGCATGGATTTTTATTGTACTGACTTGAAGCCTATGCACCTTGCTTGCTAGATTCACCTGTTAGACGAGGGAGAGGGATCCCAGTTTCGTTCACACCTACAAATCCTACTTGCAAAGTTTTTTGTTTTTCATTTTGGAAATTGATTTTCTCTTCAAATGCCTCCCCTTGCTTGCTATACTCATATGCCTACACCTCTGTGACTTTCCAGTCTCTGGACAAAGACCATCAGCTTCAAAATGAAAATATAACACCCCATGGAGGTCCCAGTTTGAGAGCCACTGCTTCTCTCATCCCTTCACTTCTTGTTGACTGAGTTTCATTTAAGTTTTACTCTCCTACTTCCTGACTGCTATGGAGGTTGTATATATGTATGTTGTCCTTCCCTCTCAAACTATGGGATTTTAGACCAAAAGTTATTTTATAATCAGCTTCTACTGAGCACCTTTTGGTGCCTGGCAATGATCCTTGAAAATCAGGAGTTTATGGGTAGTGTGTCTCATATCCAAGTACCACCTGAACTGTTTATTATTTATTTCATAGTTTTATTTAAGTGATACTTTTTTACTTTTATACACCTATTTTTTAAAGAAACTAGCATATAAATGAGAAAAAAGACAGTTGTGAAAGGTAGAGAAGAATCATGGCTCCAAACAGAAAGAGTTGAACCACAAAGAAGCAAGTGAAAACATGAGCTCAGGTCCCAAGGGGCAGAGATTGGGGGGCAGGAAGATGGTAGGAGCAGGGAAGGGCAGCCAGACCTGGGGTGTTTGGCAGATCTGAGGAGGGGAACTTCAACTGGAGGTCAGGGAGAGGCCGGGGAAGAGTTGGCCCAGAATGAGGTTTATGGGATATAGTAGAGGGGAAAAGTGCTGGGAGCAGAGAGAAGGGAGAAGGCTTCAGAGAGAAAGGAAAAGCAGCAGTGTTTGGGGAAGGGTTGCTGAAAGAGAGGATGAGGTAAAGAGAGGCCCAGGAAGGGGTGCTAACAGCATTAAGGGAAGGGTTACAAAAGTCAGGACTGTGGGGAAGGAGGAACAGGTGGGGAGAATCTCGTTCAGGCTGATGTCTCCTTCTCCTTGGGACCAGGCAGTAGGCCCTGTTCTTCAGAGGTTGGCAGGGGAGCACAGCATTGCCTGTTAGCCTCTGAGGAGTGGAAGTCATTCATGCACACCCCAAAACCATCCTTGGACCATCAGGGGGCAAGAGCCACCCTTTACAGAACACTGATGCAGAGGGAAGAGCAGAGACGGGTCATCCACAGCTATGCTCTGACTGTAAGGCTTTTTGACTGGAAGGTTTTCTAGGCCCTTAGGGGTAAAGACAAGCCTCTGAGGTGCTAATCTGGGCAGGGCAAGGTGAGGATGGGGGTGCAAGGCAGGGATAACTGCCTTGGAAGGGAGGGAAGCCTCTCGTGACAGCTGGATATTGCAGCTGGGACATATGGGGGCTGTGCTGGGGGAGAGGAGATGATAGGACATGTTTTCACTAAGGTCCCTGGCCACTACTCTTTTACCGAATTGGTTGGGCGTGAGAGGGTGTAACCATCAAAGGAAAGGAAAGGAAAAGGAAAAATCAAAGGAAAAATAGAACATTCTCCCAAACCCACCCCCCCTCCACCATGTGGAAGGAGTGCTGTTACGTGAGTACAAACCCAGGGCATGTTGCTGGCAGCACTCAAGAACCAGAGACTTGGCCAGGGAGTGCATCCCACATGGCTCTTTTCTAGGATTTGACCTCAAATCCCAGGACTAAGCAGCAGATGTAGAAGTTGCTGGAGGCTCACTGAGCTTCTTCACAACAGCAGTGAGTTTCCATTCCTGGAAATAAAGAAAAATGTCTGTGTAGAAGGCCCTGACAAAGCATATTCTCTGTGAAAGTCCATTAGCTACAGAAGCTGCAATGGGTTTTCAACATTTGTGTATTCAGGAGAACCATCCAAGGATTGTAGAGGCAGCACGATGCAGTGGTTGGGAGTCTGTGCTCTGAGCTTTATCTATTTTGTGACCTTGGGCAAGTTACCCCCCTTCTTTGAGCCTCAGTCTTGAGGGGGATAAATAAAATGGGGTATTAATATAAATAATGTAAAAGGGGGATAATACCTACTTCACAAGACTATCATAAACTTTAGGTGAATTCTAGGTCAAAGGAAGAATCCAGATTCATAATTTTTCAAAGGGCCATTTTAAAAACCATATGTTCATTGGACCCCGTTTGTTTACTCATCAATTGGGTGAAAGAATGGCTTTTGGATTCCTAATGTGCTCTCTATGCTGTGCAAGATACGAAAGGAGCATGTTCCCTGTCTTGGTCCTCCAGGCATCTGACTTCTGATAGGAAAGAGAGACGGGATGAGACCACGCAAGGCCCCTGTGATATTGAATGCTAAACTATGGCATGCCCTTCTATGCCCTCAGCATTCATGGAAAGGGAGGCCATGCCATTTGCATTGGCTCAGGTAGGATGCATGAAAGGAAGGATATGGAGCAGAGCCCTGAAAGGCAGGATTTGGAGAAGTGGTGAGAGAAGAGAGCATTCTTGGTCACGTCATCCAGATGACATGCACACCTGGGGCAGGGGCTCAGTAAATGCTGAATGAGTGAATGAACGAATGAATGATTTAAACAAATGAGCAAACACAATAAAATTAGAGAATGGTGGGCATAGCTGTAAGGCCAGCCTAAGTGGACTGTGGAAATTGGAGAGTTGTGAGAAATAAGGTAGAGAAGAGCAAATCGTGGAAGAGCTTTTAAGACGGCAGAATCTTCTGGTAGCAACATGGGGTCTGGAGCTGGAGTGACAGGGTTGCATTTGGACTCCATCTCTTATTGGCGATGTGACCCTGAGCAAGTTACTTAACCTCTCTGTGCATTAGTTTCCTCATCTGGAAAAAAAATAAGGATAACATTGATGTTTACTTTATAGTGTCATTTTGAGGATTAGCTGAGATGATGCATTTGACACCTGAGCCTGGTGCCTGGGACAGAGTAAGTACTCCAAACTGTTAGCTTTTATTAGTAGTATTAGTTTTATTAAGAGCTGAGAAGAAGAGTATAGATTCAATATGAAAACTATAGGGAACCACTGAAGCTCTTTGCAGTGGGAAATGGGAGTGGGAAGCGGTATTTTGTCAAGAATCATTTGGCAGCAGAATTCAGGCTGGTCAGAAGGGAAAGTAGGACCACGGCAAAGGTGCAGCCCAAAGGGTGAAGAAGGGCTGACCAAGGACTAGAAACAACACCTCCTGAAAAAGAGAAGGCCTGCCCCACTTGCTCAACGTGTGTGGAAGTGGGAGCCCGGCACACAGAGGCGCTCAGTAACCCTGTTGAATGAACGTCTCTAGATGCTGCGCAAGTTGAAGAACCTCTTTTTGGAGCTCACAGGCTTGATGGCAAACATTATGGAATTCCCCTAAGTCAAGTGCAGAGAGTGTGAAAGCACTGGAGAGGCCAGGTCCACTAAGACCTGGCCTCTGGCTTGTTTCAATGTCTTCCCCTGATGGAAGCAGACAAATGAACACATGTGAAAGGAAAGCCAGTGAGTGTGGTCAGCACACGCACAAAAACCAGAAAAGAATGACCAGATTCTTTTTCGTGTAAGTAAAGAAATGGTAGTAAAGAAATGAGGGGTAAAAAAAAAGCATGCTGCTTCTACTCTGTCCTAGCTCACTACTCTGCCTGATTCTAATGGAATTTGAGTTCATGTCAAGGAGAAAGAGGCCAAGTCATCAGTCTGCTTCTGGCCATGGTTCAACGTTTTGATTTTTACCTGAGCAATGGGTCTCACAGTTTTGTGCCTCTTTTTCCGATCTATAGTTTCATATTCCCATTTGCTAGTAAGGAGTGTCTCCACTACAAGTGACTAAAATGCTATTCAAATCATTCAAATCATTTAAGAACGAGGGAGAGAGAATTTATGGACTCATGAAACCAAAAATCCAGAGGTGAATCTGAGCTTCAGGCATAGCTAGATCCAGGTGCTCAGACACTGACACCAGGAATCTCCTCTCTTGCTCTCTCTCGCAGCAATCTTTCTCAGCATTCTCGGGCAGTCCCTCTGAGAGTGTCAGAATTACATTCTCACAGCAAAAAGCCCCAGCAAACAAAAGCCTTTCTCTTTCTCAACAGTTCTAAGAAAAGCTCCAGACTGGAGTCTTAGGGTTTGCATTGGCTTTCCGCTTGCTCGTCTCTGAATGTGTGGCTATGGCCAAGGCATGTGACACCTTGGCTAGTTCCACGCACTCCTCTGGAGCCAGGGGTGAGGTTAGCCTCCCCAAATCCCACACTTCAAAGTGCAGAAGGAACAGGGCTTCCCCAGGAAAGTCGAAGTTTAGTTACCAGAACTAGGAGGAATGGATGCTGAGCACAGAAAAAGCACAGCTGACCCCTACAAGCCACCAACGCCAAAACCACAAGGCTATCCAAGACTCCTGTATGCACATGTATAGAATATTCCAATAGGCTAACCTTGAATCCACCTGGGAGTCGACTCATCTTCTCCTGTATTTCCAGGAAAGTTGCATCCAATGGGGAGCAAACTCCAGCAAATTCAGAGGTTAAGCCTTGTTGAGATTGTGGCATAGAACCTGCCATTGGTTTTACCTAAGTGCACTCTCCTCTCTAGAAGTATTACTTCTGAGGAAAGTGCTTCAGGGAGCACTTAATGCCTTAAATGTGTTTGTACACTACCTTGAGTTCTCACGAGGTGTCACGTAAATGTGTGCATTTTTAATTGTGACTTTTTGAAGCACTGATTCCTGAAGTGGCCTGGCATTCAGATAATGATCTTAGAAACCCAGCCCTGGAAGAAAACACATTTTTCTCCTGGGCTGTGACTCCATTGAGTATGGCAATGAAGTTCCCATCTACTCTGAAGTATATCCCTGCTTTTTGATAGTTTGAAGGAATAAGAAAAAAAATCAATACATATAAATTAGAAATACTCAGCCTATAAGTCTATTTGCATTTATATTTATAAAATGGACCAATAACAATTTAGCACATGACATATGAAGAATAAGAACTCAGGGGGCCGGCCCCGTGGCTTAGCGGTTAAGTGCGCGCGCCCCCCTACTGGCGGCCCGGGGTTTGGATCCCGGGAGTGCACCGACGCACCACTTCTCCGGCCATGCTGAGGCCGCGTCCCACATACAGCAACAGGAAGGATGTGCAACTATGACGTACAACTATCTACTGGGGCTTTGGGGGGAAAAACAAAAGGAGGAGGATTGGCAATAGATATTAGCTCAGAGCCGGTCTTCCTCAGCAAAAAGAGGAGGATTAGCATGGATGTTAGCTCAGGGCTGATCTTCCTCACAAAAAAAAAAAAGAAAAAAGAAAAGAAAAGAAAAAAAAAGAACTCAGGGAAACATTAAATCCACATAATCATTCAACACATTGACTAAGTGCCTACTGTGTGCCAGGGACTGTACTAAGCTGTGGGGATGTAGGAATAAGCAAAACAAATTTTAAAAATCCTAGCTTACATGAAGTGTACATTCTAGTAGGTGTGTCCGTTTGTATACATCTTCCAGTCTCCTCTGTGTCATTGACAGGAAATAGTCATAGACACCAGTAAACATAAAGGGCAAATTCTCAGTGAGTGCTAGGCTAGGCTTTCTGCCAGCGCTCTGCATACATTATCTCATTATTCTCTTCTTCCTAGGAATTAAAAACAGGCTTCAGAGAGATGTAGACATCTGTTCAAGGAGCCACAGGAAGTAAGTGGTGGGGTCAAGACTGAAACTCGTATCTCCATATCTGCCTGTCAACTTGTACCCTCTCTTGGGATGTGGATAGAGGATGATGGGGAGTGGTGGGGACTATGACAAACTGGAGAACAAACTCTGTGCAAAGGGAGCCACTGTTTTTAGCTCCAGCCACTTGTCACAGGGGAATGTGGCCAAGTATGGCCAGGTTTTCTGATTTTTCATGCGAAGCCAGCAAACAGGATTTTGATGTGAAAACCAGTTTTTAAGACACCGTGAAAGCCAAAAATAATCTGTCTGGGTGTAATTCAGGCACTGTCTGTTAGAGGTCACACTGTGTCCAGGAGGATCCCTGGGAAGGTAGGATACCAGATAGCAACCCTGAAATTAAATGTGGGTAGAAAACTTCAAAAATAGCTATGGTCCTTGTACAGAGTATTTCTCAAATTGATTTTACAAGGCTAAGGTAGAAAATGGTGCCCTTGTTTACCAAAAAAGCAAAATCCTTAATGAAAGGTAACAGTGAGGGAGCAGCTGGAGCATTCCAACACCCCCCCCCCCGCCGATGGAGGAGGTTGGCATAGAACCATCTTGTGCTGGGCGGACAGACCATGCTTAATTGAAAAGGAAAATTTAACTTCAGGGCGGGCTTCGTGTTACATCTGAGGTCCTAATAATGATCATTATGCTGTCAGCGCACAAGACATGGTTCAAAATAATTCTCCTCCTAAAAGTCACATTCTACTTGCTTCCTGGCCCTTCTTTGCCTCCTCCACCCGGTGGCCTCCTACATTCAGCAACCCTTTCCTCTTCCCCATCTCATTTGCCAAGGGATGGCAGTCACAGGACATATGGAGGTCTCATCACTGGGGTGGTCTGTGACTGGAATACAGTTAGTCGCCTGGTGATGGCAGCGCCTCTTCCTGTCCTGGCCTTTGGAGGGAAGGAGGGAGGGAGCACAGAAGAGCTTCCACATTTAAAAAACATTTGTACCGTCAATAGATTGCAACTCTGCAAGACAATAGTTTTACTTAAAAAGTCTAAAGGAATTCCCATCTTCCAGATCTTAACAAGATCACAAAACCTCTGTTTACTACAAGAATTGTTCCAGAAAGGGAAGTGAAATCTGGCACATGAAAAATCCCATTTTTCTCCGCTCCGAAGATAGTAACTTTGCAGCCATATGCCATGTGTATTTTATCACAGCACAACAGTACTGTAGTGCACTGAGGACAGATTTGCTGCTGCTGCTGCTGCTGCTGCCGCCTCCTCCATCTCCTTCTGTTGCTTGGATAAAGCTGAGGCGTGTGGCACTGCTGTGAGATTCTTAGAAGATCCGGCAAGTGCTCCTGGCTGGGACCCTACAACTCGGTTTGCACCACGAAGCTCTAAATCCCAGCTCCTCTGGGCCCTGGGAGCCTTCTCTTTGGAAAACACACATAGGAAGGACTTAGATGCCTTCTGAAAGGGACGGGACAAAGAAAACTTGTACTCTCCCCTGTTCCCTTGCTTGGAAGATCATTGAAGATTAAGAGATGGAGTGACTTCTCCCACTCAGGGGGAGGCAGGGCATTGCTGTGATTAGGAGGGTCCAGAAACCTGTGTCCTAGCTCTGGTTCCCCCACGTCCTCGCCTTGGGACCCAGCACAATTTATTGAACCTTTATGGGCCTCAGTTTCCTCATCTGTAAAATGGAAATGATAACTAGACCGAGCACACAGAGCTGTTGAGAAGGTTAATAGGGGAGCACCATGCACGCAGTAGAAGCTGCTCTCTTTGCATAGATCTTGTTCTCCAGCTTGCCACAGCCTCCGTGCATCCCCATCATACCACCCACCCCCCCCAACCACAGCCTAGGAGAGGGTACAAGTTAAAAGGCAGGCATATGATTCAGTCTTGGCCCCACCGCTTATTTCTGCAGCTCCTTGGACAGGCGATCAGGAAGCCGACATGATGACCAGGGCCACTCGATCACAATTTTCAGCTGCAGCAGTGGAAACACAAGCTACCTTTGCTCCCACCACATCTGGAGTCTTATTTTAGATGCCATCTTTGCCTGAATTTCTGGGCTGCTTAGGCCACAGTCTAGATGAGAATGTGCTCCTCCTGCCCCCTGCTCCAGGCCCCTGGAGAGGCCAAATTCCATCTGGGCGGGTATGGAGTCCACCTGCACAGGAGTGAGAGTGGCATTTTGTACAAATACAGATTCCTGGGCTCAATCCTAGACCCACTGCTTCTGAATCAATGGGGCCAGGGCCTAGGGGTCTTCAGGTGTAACAAGCCCTCTGAGGGAGCAGATGCACAGAAAGGTTAGCATTTATGGCCCTCTGGTGCTTCAAACTCTGCAGATCTTTTCCTCAACCTGTTTCTCTTCGTGTATCTTGCTTAACTGGACCAAGGCAACAAAAGCAAAAATCAAGTAGGACTACATCAAACTAAAAAGCTTCTGCACAGCACAGGAAACCATCAACAAAATAAAAAGGCAACCTACTGAATGGGAGAAGATATTTGCAACTCATGTATCTGATAAGGGGTTAATATCCAAAATATATAAAGAATTCATAAACTCAATTAGCAAATAATCTCATTTAAAAATGGGCAAAGGATCTGAACAGACATTTTTCCAGAGAAGACATGCAGCTAGCCAACAGGTACCTGAAAAGGTGTTCAACACAGCTAATCATCAGGGAAATGCAAATCAAAACCACAGTGAAATATCACCTCACACCTGTTAGAATGGCTGTTATCAGAAAGACAAGAAATAACAAGTGTTGGTGAGGATATGGAGAAAAGGGAACCCTGTGCACTATTGCTGGGAATGTAAACTGGCGCAGTCACTATAGAAAACAGTATGGAGGTTCCTCAAAAAATTAAAAAAAGAACTACCATATGGGAGCCGGCCCTGTGGCGTAGTGGTTAAGTGCACGCACTCCGCTGCTGGTGGCCCGGGTTCGGATCCCGGGTGTGCACCAGTGCATTGCTTGTCAGGCCATGCTGTGGTGGCATCCCATATAAAGTAGAGGAAGATGGGCATGGATGTTAGCCCAGGGCCAGTCTTCCTCAGCAAAGAGGAGGATTGGCATGGATGTTAGCTCAGGGCTGATCTTCCTCACACACACAAAAAAAGAACTACCATATGATCCAGCAATTCCACTTCTGGGTATTTATCCAAAGAAAACAAAAACATGAATTTGAAAAGATATCTGCACCCCCATGTTCATTGCAGCATTATTCACAATAGCCAATATATAGAAACAACCTAAGTGTCCATCGATGGATGAATGAGTAAAGAAAATGTGGTATATATATACACAATGGAATATTATTCAGCCATAAAAAAGAAGGAAATCTTGTTATTTGCAACAACATGGATGAAACTTGAAGGCATTATGGTACGTGAAATAAGTCAGACAGAAAAAAGCAAATACCGTAGGATCTCACTTTTTTGTGGAATTAAAAAAAAAAGTAAGCTCATAGATACAGAGAACAGATTAGTGGTTGCCAGAAGTGGGCGGTTGGGGGGGGGTAGTGAAA